TTCCTTCCTTCCTTCCTTCCTTCCTTCCTTCCTTCCTTCCTTCCTTCCTTCCTCTGGGTGGTTCAAGAGACACTTAAAACAGGGATTAACTATATGAATTTTTTGGGTCAAACTCTGAGATTAGAGATCTATTTCATCCATTTGATAAAATACATTGAAAAATTCAGATGTCTTCTATTCTGCTCAATCTCCACATGTTTAGCCAGAAGCCTGATGGGAAACTGTATCCATGTTCTCTAAAATACAACAACAGTTGTTCAATATAACCCAGGGCTGCCCTTCTGTCCATGCAAGGCAAGTAGAGCTCTCCTCCGAACGTCCTTCTGAAGGAAGAGAACAGGATGAAGTTGTATGTACATTCTGTTCTCTACCCAACTCCATGTTTCTACATATGGTACTGAACTGATTTCTACTTATAGGAGAGTCACCAGCAGCAGTTGAAGCATTGTAAAAATGAATCTGGAGGGCTAGAAAAGGGCTGGGCTAACCTACAAATCCCACCTTAAATTTCTGAGGTTCCTTGGCTCAATTACATACAATCTTACAAGTAATTGGTTGAAATTACTTGTTCTGAGTTTTCTTTGGGAACTCCTTGGTGCTCTCTGAGCTTGGTTGGTTTTCTTGTAGATGTTTCCTTACCCAACTAGGTAACACCATCAGTGCATTGTTGAGTTTTCTTTCTGTCTACCTATTAAGAATCAACTGAAGAGAGAGAGCGACAGGAAGAAGTGGACAAGGGGAAGAGTTGGTAGAAAAGAGATTTATGATTCCACTGGCACACACTTCACTCTCCCAATGCAGTAAATGCACTGGAGAAAATGCAATGAAAGGCAAACACCTCTTTTAATGTATGTCCAGAAAGCTGAATTAAACAACATCAGGAAGGCATGAATTCCTGACCTTGTTCTCCTTTTTCCCCTTTTAATCCTTGAATTCCATCTCGGCCGTCTCGTCCTGGTATCCCTTTCTCAGCTGGTTCACACACCACCAAGGAACAAGCATTCCAGCTATGGATGACTTTCTGTGGCGCTGGGGTGGACACTGATGCCACTGTTGACACTAAAGCGCAAAAGAGCAGGACCACGAGCATTGCTGAGAGGTAGGACCTAGAAGAAGAAAAAAGTGAATGAGAAGGAGAAATATGTAAAAATATGGGATATAGGACATGTGAGATTCAGCTGTTGGTCAATCAAAGTTGGCAATTTGATATGCAAAGGTATGTTTCAATTGGAGTTTGCAATATAACAAAGACTGTCTAATCTCTTCTTAAAAACCTCCATTGATGGAGCACCCACAATTTCGGGAGGGAAGCTGTTTCACTGGTTAATTGTCTTCGCTGTTAGGAAGTTTCTCCTTACTTCTAGGTTGGGTCTCTCCTTGATTAGTTTCCAACCATTGCTTATTGTCCTGTCTTCAAGTTCTTTGGAAAATAAGTTGACCCCTCCTTTTCTTTGTAGCAGCCCCTCAAATACTGGAAGACTGCTATCATGTCCTCCTTCGTCCTACTTTTCTCTAGACTGGCCATCCCCAGTTCCTGCAACTGTTCTTCATATATTTTAGTCTCCAGGCCTTTAATCACCTTAGTTGCTCTTCTTTGCACTTTTCCCAAAGTCTCAACCTCTTTTTTGTAATGTGGTGATCAAAGGTGGATGCAATATTCCAGATGTGGCCTTACTAAGACTTTGTAAAGGGATACTAATACTTTATGTGATCTTGATTCTATGCCTGTGTTTCATAGGAGTCTTTTTCATAAATGTCTTTTTTTCTTTTTCTCCCCACCCCATTTCACAGGCGTCTTTTTGCACCTATCTCTCTGGTATAAACTTTTAAGAATGGAATTTTCTTTATTGTGCCCCTTAGCTATTTGTGCCTGTTAGTAGCTAATTGACGATAGAATTCATGCCTTGAGAGAATACAATATGTGTGTTGCACCACTTTCTTATCTCTCTTTGCAGTAAAATACAGGAACTGCTTGTTAGAATACAAATGAGAGCTTTGGAGTAAGTCACAAATCAAAGCTACTCAAGTGTATTTCAAGAGTGTGTCTGCATTATGTTTATGCCCATGACTTTTGATGTTGGCGTGTTCTTGCTTTCTTATCAGTTGTAGCATTATTTTCTCTTCTGGGATCTCCGTTAATGCCTACCCACGCTCAAACTGTCTTTGGTCAACATTCAGGGATGGGCTGCTGGGGGTTCGCAGGGGTTTGGGCGATCCTCTAGCTAAGATTCTGTGCAGTTCAGAGAATCCCATTCCTCACTGGCCCTGCCCACCCCTCCCCTCCCAGGACTCCCCACACAGCCCGTTTCGGATGCAGGTAAGTGCAGGGCGTGCGCAGAGGCTTGGGGAGGGTGAAAAACGGGTCTCCTGGAAGTTTGAGAAGGCCGGAAATGGGTCTGTTTCTGGCTTCCAGAAACCCTCCAGAGCAAAGGGCAAAAATGCCCCCCCCAGAGACTCAGGGAAAGCCTCCGGAGCCTGGGGAGGGAAAAAATGCCCCCCTCAACATGATGCAGGAGGTCACCTAGGCCAGAGGTCTCCAACCTTGGCAACTTTAAGACTTGTGGACTTCAACTCCCAGAATTCTCCAGCCAGCTCTTAAAGTTGCCAAGGTTGGAGACCTCTGGCCTAGGCCACGCCCACCATGGCCATGCCC